TTTATTTGGGCAGCCAGAGGAGACCCGGTCACGGCTCTCGCTTCCGGTAACAGTTTCGGTTTCCATTCCCCGAAGTCAGAGGAAGAGCGAGCACAGGAGCACGCTGGGCAGGAGACTGCTGCTGGGTTTGTAACGCGGCCCTTTGCTTACTTATCCTTTGATCTCAGGCAAGGTGCAGAAATAATCTACACCTCAGCGCGATCGTCTGTAAAACAGAGCCATTAACAGAAAATAAAATAAAAATCTCAAACTAAAAGTGTTCTTTAATAGGGGGGGGGAAAAAAAAAAGATGTGGAACTCTTTTTTCTTTTTGGTCCTTTCTTCAAAATATTTGTCCCATTTGGTAAAAGAAGCATTGGGCATCAAAGCTGGGATCAGTTCTGTATTTAAGCAGAAAAGCAATAGCTCTTAAACTTAAGTTTTCAGCACCTACTTTTTGCACACTAGTTTCATTTTAAACAAGCTATTGAGCAATGCCAGACTTGCCCTGGCTGGAGAGCAGGTCACTGTCAGTAGGAGAGCACAGGGTCTATAAAGATGTACCACCAGCTAAGGGCCTTAAAGACCAGCAGCCGCTATCCATCTGCAATGACTATTAATAATAAGGAAATAATGTGTCTCATTCATGCTTCTCTACACTTGCCCTTTGAGTTTTGATGTGGTTACATGTCCTGTCAGGACAGGACAGTGGCCACTGAACAACACAGTACCCAAACCTTTCCACTTTAGCCCTTGCCGACGTGGGCCGGACATGTTAGAGGTTCAAAAGGAGGAGAGAAAAACCAAAACTATAGTCCACTGAGCTGTCCAGCTACTACTGCATTCTCCATTTCCCCTGGATTTTTCAGAGCAAAGAACTCCGACCTTTAGAAATACCTAAATACTTGCTTTATTTAAGCAGGCAATAACTGAAGAAGATAAAAGCTCTTACTATTTCTTCTTCTTTCTTTCTTTTTTTTTTTTTTTTTTTTTGTTATAGGCAAAAGATACCCTTCTTTAGTTTTTGGGACGCCCAAATCATCCAAGAATATTATTGGGAAAAGCAATCCTCTCTGGCAGTACATCCTGGATCACTCTTTGCGAGAACATCCCATTCTAAAGAAGCTGCGACTGGTCAGTATTCTATCCCTCAGCCCAGGTGCTCTGCTCAGTGCCACTACTGTTCCACTAGGACCTTTTGGTATGTCCCACACCTGGTCCTGAACTGTTGGACTCCTTCTGTTATTTCTTCCTCCAAATTATTTGCATATACAGTGGCATTTGTTTTGAACTGTTAGTATCCAAACTCTTCAATGTTCAGGGCCAAATGAGTATTTAAAAGTCTTGGCGTACATTTTAGACTCGTCTTTTTATCCATGGCTCCTAAACCCATGAGTTTGGCCTGTACTTGATTTTGACTTGAACAGATGACTTCTGTTCATTTTATTTGGCATATAAGGAAACTGTAGCTCAAAGAGGTGATGTCCTCCAGCAAGGCTCAGAACAGACCTCCTGACACTCACAATTGAGTCATTTCAAGTGAGACAAACTAGTCCTGTATAAAAGCTATTATATATTGAGTACTGGAGCTGGTTGGTTGGAATGAGCCCTAGAGGAAGAAAGGAAATGAGAGGACCATCCTTTCCATTCCACTGCCACAGCACAGCTACGCTTCTCCTGCTGCCTCCTCCTCAGTGCCAAGGGCCCTTCTACCCTGGCATGGGCCCAGCTCCTCCAGCTCTGTGCTGTGTAGCCAGAACCATGTGGTCTGACCTTTGGCAACAGACTTTAACCTAGCAGTTCATGTCTTGGAGGAATAAAGGCATAAGTAGAAAAGTTACCTTTTTTTTTAAAAAAAAAAGGTGCATCTGTTTATGTAAATACACAGAAAGAAAGGACTTTAATAGTCAAGGTTCCTCTATGGTTCTTCATCAGTTACAACTATTGCTGAGGTTGCCACAGCCATAGCAACTTCAGGTTATAGTAATGCTTTGAATGATTAGCCACTGCTTATTACACACACCACCCTCCTTAGTTACAGTTCAATTCAGAACAGTTTCTGGGTCACAGATGGAGCAGAAAGCCATCTAAAATGATAAATGGAGCATCTGTTTTTCCTCATGTTTCTGTAGGGTTTTTTTCCCCCCTAGGAGACTGTTATGGAACTTTTAGGGTTTGTTTGATGTGTGTGTTTTGTTTTGTTTTTTCTTTTTAGGTCACTGCTGATCATCCCTGCAGAGGAATGATGGTGTCCTGTGACCAGGCTCAACTTATGGCAAATTTGGTCAAACTCATTAAAGCCAAGAAAGTTATTGAAATAGGTAACAGTGTTCCTTTACACTCTCTAGTAGAATAAAGCTCCTGGATGTGCACCTCCAAATACAGCCATGTCTACATAAGGCATCCACACACAGTAAGGCACTGCATAACTGTCTCAGCAAACAGGTGGGCAAAACACAGTGTGAAAAGTAATATCTAATTTTCTTACTTGCCACTTTGTCCATCTGTGCATTCAGTAATTCTGGTATCAGCATGGATATCTTCTCAGTTCTGAGGCTATCTGAAAAAATAAGATAAACAGATCACTTGGGTTTCCCGTAGCTGCAGGACAGGATATATTCTTTCCTTCCTGTATCAGCTTCTTGCCAGAAGGAAATGCATCAAATCCACTTTCCTTGGTGCAGCTATGTTAGACACATGTCCCAAAGCCAGGCTGATGCTGATGCAGGTGTGGGTTCCAAACATGTTTGTTCTTGGCCTGGCTGTTGTGATGCCCTGGTATTTTCCTGCTGGCTCAGTCCCTCTGGCTTAGGATTTAGATCCACTTTTAAGTAAGGGTATTCCTCAGAGATGCAGGATCGCACTCCGCCCTGTATGTTCAGGAGACTTTTGGAAAAAGCCAACATTAAGCTTTGTTAAAAGGTTAATTTAAAAAAAATATATATTTTTTTTTTTAAAAAGTAAAATTACAAGCCACCATTACATTAAAATGGAGGGGAAAACCTTCCAAGTCTGTTAAGAATTTTCCATCCTTGACTTCTTTGGGGTTTTTATTCCTGAAAGGAGCCCTGTAGTTCACTATTTATGTTTGGGTTTTTTTTCCCAATATGTTAAGTGTTGATGACTCTTATGATTTTCCTAGGTGTTTTCACAGGGTATAATACCTTGAATATGGCACTTGTCTTGCCAGATAATGGCAGAGTTATTGCCTGTGATATAAATGAGGACTATGCCAAAATTGGAAAGCCACTATGGAAAGAGGTAAGCACAATCTCTTCTGTTACATGTTTGGGACAGCTGCACTTGCATGTGAAGGGATTTTGGTGTCTTAGAGTTGCTCATTCACACACAAGCATTCATATCATTAAAGGAGGCTGAGACAGTTCAATTTGGAAAGACAAATAAGTGCTGCCTAGAACCCAGAAATAACAGAAAAAATATCTGAACACCAGTAACTCCCTGAGTGCAACCTACTGACAGGTTATTTCTTGACCACTTTCATCAACTCTTTGTTCTTTTTCATTCCAGGCAGGAGTAGAGCATAAAATTGACTTGCGGATTAAGCCAGCAATTCAAACACTTGGTAAGTAACCTAAAATACCTTTTTTTTTCCCCTTCCCTAGAAACAGAGGATGAATGTAATACCAATGAAATCTTGCTTGTGCATGCAATCCCTTTAGTAGCAGTAAGATAGCCTCTTATATTAAAAAAAAAAAATTAAAAAAAACCAACAAAACTTCACAAACTCAGAAGTTCACAGTTGTCCTTCATGCTAGCAGAAAGGAAGAAAATGCTTGTCCTGTGTAGTGGGCTGTACCAGTCACACACCTGTCCTAACCATTGCCTTGTTTAATCTATGAAGTGTTATTGTCAGCTGCTTCTGGGAAAGCTGATTAAAACATGAATTAGACAAAGCCAAATTTCTCTTATCCACTGTCTAGTATAAGTGAGTATTTTTTTATTATAAACAGATTTTTTTGAAAGGACCAAGGTGCAGAAAAAAACACAGAAGCCAGTGTAAAACTTAGTGTGTAGCAGTTGAATTTTGTCCAGGGGATTTCAAATTTAGGATGTGCCAAAAGCATGCAAGGCCATTAGAAAGGCAGTAACTTATCTCAAAAAAAAAAAAAGAGTGGGGCAGAGGGCCCACATATTTTTCATTAAAACTCTGAAAATTCAAGAAATTTGCTAGGAATGGAGGAGGCAGAAGAAAGCTTCCAGCAAAGCTGTTTTATGGATCCACAGATCCATCCATAACCTTGTATTACTTCCAAATTCATCTGTGTTTCCTGAAGAGGCAAATATTCGCAGTCTGCTAGGATGCCTTGTCCTTGAAGTCTGATGGACAGCTTTGTCCAGGCAGTGCTTCAGACAAAAAGATCCTCTGTTGGCAGAGGATAAGGGCAGATGAGAGGCGTGACTGAGAAACCTTAGGAAGGCAGCAGTCAGCCCCTCTGCTACTTGAGATTTGGAGTTCCAAGTCAAGAAGTCCATTTGGGAGAATTTTAAACTGAATTCCACTTGCATAGGCCCAGAGAGGAACTAGTTACAGCACTCTTTTGCTGTGATAAAGATCTCTGGCAGGGCTTTTTTCATGACCTGTATGATGGCATTTTATTATCAACAAGACCTGTTCATAAACATGAGAAAAATCCTAATCCACTTGCAGAAACAGTTCTCCTCAGTCAGCTCAAAAAAAAATAGCTAGAGGTGTAGAGTCCGTCCAGTTTCAAACTGCTTGACTTGTTTTTACTGCACCTTTCATCAATCCCAGCAGTATCCTGCAGGTTTATAACCACTCCATGAACTTCCAAGCAGGCAGAACTCAGTAACTTGAGTGTTTTCTGGCATACATCACGTCTAGGTCAGTTTCTGTGGGATAAGCTCCTCTAGTAATTAGCTGCAGAGGAATAGGCTGCCTGATCAAGGCACTAAAAACATTATTTAATGAGAACTTTGACACGAAGGGATGACTTCCTCCTCCACAGCATTAACCAGGGTGTAACGACTCACTCTGTTGCTCATCTAGATGAATTGTTGGCCAGTGGAGAAGCGGAAACCTTTGACTTTGCTTTCATTGATGCGGATAAAGAAAGCTACAATGAGTACTATGAAAAATGTTTGCGCCTCATAAAGAAAGGGGGAATAATAGCTATTGATAATGTAAGTACTGCAGTTGTAGTGGTAGTAGCACAGGGATTTACTGCTTTTGCTCCTGGGAAAGGAGAAAAAAGAAAGTCACAGTGGGATTCTAATCATGTGATTTCTGACCTGCAACTCAGCTGGCGATTGCAACATTGGTTCCATGTTACACAAAGGAGGCTTTTAAATTTCAACATAAATTCCTAAAGTAAGCTATATGGAACAGTAATATAAGCAAGGAATAAAACCCTATAGAAGTAAGAAGTAATGTGTCGAATTTGTTATTAGATAAACAGCCTGTGATAACAGAAACTTATCTCTCTTTTTTGTAATTTATTACAGAGAATGCTCTGTATTCTAACTTGTCTTGTAGTGCCTTTTTAACTATGTACAGTACTTGTGCAAGGTCAAAGGTAGCACTTGTCGTCAGTAACTAATAATAAGTCATCAAATAATAACTTTTCCAAGAGGCAAGGAATAATGTTAAACCCCAGCCACCTTCAGGGCTATGGTGGCAGCTGAATAGGGGCTTTTGAAAATACCTGTTTGGTCACCTCTTTTTTTTTTTTATTCTGGCTTTAATTTGCAGTAGCAGTACAATTGGCCAATTCCGTGGACTCACAGTCTCACTTGCTTATGAAAGTTCAATGTCAGAGACCACTGGAAATCTGAAAAGCAATAAACAATATCAGGTTCTAGAAAATATGCAGGACTTTTTCCAAAGCTTCCTTTGTGGTCCAAGGAACATACTGGAGCAATGACGTTTATTTTTTCAATAGGTCCTTTGGAGTGGAAGGGTGCTAAAACCAAGAAAGGATGACTTGGCAACCCAGAGCATCCACCACCTCAATGAGAAGCTTCTCAGAGATGCACGAGTCAATATCAGCATGCTCCCAATGGGGGATGGCGTCACGTTAGCATTCAAGTTGTAACTGGAGGAAGCCCAGCAGATGGGGAAACAACAAGCAGCACCAAGCCATCAGGAAAAATGCAGGCAAAGAAGTATCAAAAATAGTTATTGAACCTGTATTTCCAGTGGATAGCACAGCCTGGGAAAGTAGACTTTAGGAGCAGCAAGATCCTAAGGGTATCTAAGTTGGGAAGAGAGACTTATTTTGATATCTACTATAGTTTCTTATTTTAATTCTTATTTTAATTGTAATAAAGTAAGTAAACTTATGTGAAGCTGTCCTTGTAAGACAGTGGTTTAAAAAAAAAATCTCCCCTTGTAGAATGATTGAGTTCTAAATGAGTGAATACAACAGTCATTTTCTGTCCTAAAAGTACCAGAATAATCATTCCTACCATCAAAAGGAAAAGCTGTGGAGAAGCCATAATAGAAAAGTGAAATTTAAGGAAGCGTACATGACATCAAGGAGATTGCTAGTCTTCTCAAACTAATGCTAGTGAAAGACATGGATAATCCTTGAAGAGCAGGACATAAGAAGCCTCAGATATACACTGCTGGAGGAGAGAAATGTCTTAAAAAGCATGTCAAAGTACAAACAAACATGACTTCCAATACAAAGCACTCCCTAAAACCTTTTTGCAAGGACTGCGTTTCTTTAACCTAGGTAACAGTGCGGGTTCTGATTTCTTAGAAATTAGAATGAGGAAGAACAAATGGGAAAGAAGAAAACCAAAACAATCTTTCTCTTTCCTCTCCCTCTCCCACCTGTCCTCCAAAGAAGCAAGTTGCTAGGTGCTTATTTCCAAAAAAGTTGCAAGTACAGAGCATTGCCAAATTTTCAGAAGGGTAATTGTGTGAGAATGAATACAACCATTAACTGGCTATTCAAATAAGTACCGCAAGCAGAGATTCCCTTCCTTAGGCAGCATCTAACAAAATGATGCTTTTCCCATGCCCTAGTAAAGTATTTTTCCTACAGTATTCTTAACTCCTAGTTAACTTTATGTGCTGTTGCCCTCCATTACTCTTCTTTCATCCTGATGCATGCTCTAAAATTTTTTATCAAGAAACAGTAGTTGCAAAAGCTCACCTCACCTGGGACCAGTGAAAGCAACTTAGGTGGTGGGAGGTCTATTCTGGTTTTGACCTAGAGAATAAGAATCCAGCTAACGACTACTTTCCATGGTGAATTACAAATAGTAAAAACTCATTTTTAGGACTTTTTATTTCAGCCTGAAATTCTTATTACAAAGAAAACCTAATTAAACAAGTGTGCGGAAAATGCCGCTGCCAGAGGTCGATGTTCCAATAGGAGACAGAGGAGTCCTGTAAAATAGACTTTATTGGAATAAAGGGAGATTCCACGGGCAGATCCCGGGGGGGTCTCTCAGTGCGGCTGGGGGACACAGCCCCCTTCTTATCCTAATTTCCCGGCCGCAGATTTCCCTCCTCCTTTCCCCACTGGCTGAGGTACTCAGAGTGTACAGACTGCCCGGTACGCCTACTACATATCCGCCTCAACATGTACCCCCCTGCTCATCATACATCCCATGGCTCATTAACTTCATTTTATGCCTCCCCTGGGAGGAGAAGTTACTATATATAAGTTCATTAAGCATGCGTACTAGTTCCCAAAGTTCAGAGGTTTAAGGCTATGTAAATGTCTTGAGGTAGATCATCTAGGTTTGTTTAAATTCATTCAAGTCCTCAGGTTCTTCTGGCATGGTTCTTTTTGTATGTAAAGTGGCCAGGCTATCACCTTGGAGCACTGGTGATTGTATCTCTCCACATAGTGTTTTACTCCCACTCCCTGCTGTGAAGATACAGTCCCTGCTTTATCCTATCACAAGAAACCACAACTAGCATTTACAAACAGAAGCTCCACTGGCTACTGTTCTGGGGGACTGACACGCTGGAATTTTATCATGTGTATGTCAGGGAAAAAGGTCACTTTAGGTTTGTTGTCCTTCTCTAGGGAAGCTATATCAGAGCTTAAAGAATCCTTCCATTTGCTTATATAGTGCCCTTGAATGACTCAAGGCACTGAGGAACAAAGATTTCAAGTCTCAAAACTGTGGCAACTACCTATTTGGCTCATATTTTTGAAATTTCAACTGTGTGAGTTGGGTTCTGATAAGGAGCAGGCATTCAGGGCACACATCTTACCCATCTCAGACATGTACATTTGTAGTATGCTACAGTGGGAGATTAATGAGAGGAAGCTTTGCCTGATGGTTTCAGACCAGGGCCATGAGAGAGGAGATCTGAATTCTATTTCTGTCACTTCCCCTTAAAACCCTGATTCAGCAGAGCATGTCAGGATGTACTTAAGTACTTTGCTGAATTGCAGACTAGCTGCTGTAAAGCCCCTGCCTGGGAAAAGGCCAGGACAAGGTGCATACGGCCCTTAAATTGAGATTTTAAATAGGACATAAAGCTTGCCCAGTTTCTTTTTCTAGGTACAGTTTTATCCTTAGAGCTTCAAAGCTCTGCATGCCTCAATTTTCTTATCTGCATAAAAGAAATAACAGCTTACCAAAGTCTTAATGACTGTTATAGCTCCCAGATGAAGTGGCTAAAGGAATATACAAGATCATTATACGTTTGCATACAAAGCTTCTGGCTGTGTTCCACATAACAATTTTACTTTTTAAGTAGATAACAAAAAAAGTGTAAGGGTTACAAATACAAAATGAGACATTTTAAAAGCTGGGGAATCCTCTCAAACATTCCTGATTTCAGAGGCTATAGGCTGATAATCACAAGTGAGCTACAAGCTGTTAAGTATACATACCCTGGCCTAAAAGTACCATGATGGCCTTTCCAAACTTGCAGAAGTCACTGGAAGATTGATCACAGACACAAACTGTTTTGCTACTAGTTTCCAAATTGTAAGAATACTCTCAATAAAGCTGAACCAAAAATGGGCAAGCACTGTGAATATTTTTGCAAGCAATTGTCAAATAACAGTTTTTCAACGTTCAAAACTAGATACAACCATCACAAATTCAAAACCTGTTCCTTCAATGATGGGAACTGGAAAGTCCCCATCACCTATGCTGGAGGAAGATGTATTGAGTGCCTGAGGCTAAAGTCCCATGCAGCAGGGGAGCATTTTGCCTCTGCTTTGGACTCTGCTCCATTTTAAATATGCAGAGAATAGTGTGAGCATTTAATCAAACCTGTCTCCATCCTGATCACGTAATTACCATTAGAAAGAATAGCAATGTGTCCCTAAACTACAGATTGATGAGCCATCTGTAAGCTGAAACAAAGAGCAGAAGGAAGCTTAATTGAATCAAATATTTAGAATACATTACATTCTCTCTTGTAGTTACTCAGAAGCTGGCCTTCTCTTCAGGCTTCTGTCCTGTGCATCTGGAATTCATCACCACTAACTGCATTTAATCCTTCAACCTCACTATAAAGTGACTGCTGATAATATATAATTATGGTTTAATTCAAGCAGTGAGTCAGCTTTGGGGAATTTGTGGGGACAATGAGAATTTAGGCTTTCATTAAGTGGTGAAAGCGGACCACGGATAAAGCAGCACAAGTCTTTGTCTCTCCCTAATGGTGAGATTATGTATGGGAGCTTATGGATCTGCTCCCCCCTCCCAGGTAACACACCTGCCTGAGCTCACGCTGTAGAGCTCAACATTTTACACCCCTACAGGGGAGCTGATGTGGGGGCACAGCTGTTGCCCAAACCCTACCAGCCAGCTGTTCATGCTGGCATCTCTTCTAGCTGCAAGGGAAAAAGAAAATTCCCCCTAGTGCAGCAACTCCCAGAAGCCACCATGAGAATGAAAGCATATAATCCTAGCTACTGGTCTGGTACCTCAGTTCCTGTTCCAAAGATGTCACGTTCAAAATGGCATGGTATGATATTTGGATGGGTGATGGAGAAAAAAGGAACAGAAGACTGTTTCAGAGCAGACTTTGCATCTCTGCTCTCTAATTAAATGAGCAGACAGCACTCACTCGGCGGTACTGTCATCTTCCTGCCTTCTGCTGCCCGCCCCCCCCAACATACCCAGAGAAAAGATGGCAAGAGCTTGGAGTTAGCTACAACATGGAAAACACTCAGTATTCAGGTGCTCAGAAATCTAGAAAGAGGGCTGCCCCAAAAAAGAAACAACTCACTGTCCAAGGGTAGACGTGGGCTCCTAAATGCTCAAGGTGTGCTTCTGCATTTCCAGTGCTGCACTTTTGATCCTGCTGGGACATGGAGGCTGAAGCAGGGAACATCATTGGCCTCCTACACTGCTGCATGCCTAAAGGAAAAGTGGGCTGCTGGGTATAGGATAACTTAGAGGCATTTGTTTGAATTTCGACTCTGCTGTCACTCCTCCTTTATACACTCATGAAGTGTTTTTAATCTGTTTTTATTTTAGCCATGTTACACAGGGACAGCACTTGCAGTGAATTGCTGCTCATGGAAAACAATTATCAAACTTTTTGTGGTAAAGCTGTTAGGGTCCAGGGAAAGGAACATTCAAATCCCCTCCTTTGAAGCATGAGCAGCTCTTCACATTCCCCAGAAACCTTGCACCTGAAATCTGAGGCACACACCAGATCTCAGGCACTGACATCCTGTTGATATTTGGGTGGCAACAGCAGCAAGTGCCATAATTTGCAGCTGCCTTCCATTTGATGACATACTAGCACAGTTAGCTGCATCCCTTTTTGTGTTCTCTTTACCACTCGAAGAAATCCATCCTAAACGGCCATGACAGGGGTAAATGAGCTAAGACATCAGTGCTGTTTTAAGAGACTGTTCTCCCTACTAGTTGAGATGAATACAGCTTGGTTTCATCTAACCCATCTCCTGGCACTGCACAGGCCTCCTCTGCCCCTAGTGGCACCTCCACAAGGAACATGCCCGTGCTGAGGAGCTCCATCTAGACTTCAAAAAAACAGGTATGGCAACACATTTGGATAACCTATGAGCTCCTCATGCCGAACTGATCTGGACCCACCTCTGAGTGCATTTGCAGCATGCTTGACTTCACTGCTCAT